TCCTGCAGCTACTCATTGTTGCTATCAGCATGTAGCTGGCGTTGGGCCAGGAGGTGTGCACTTTGTCCTCTCTCCTGTAACTCTATTCTTAGCCTCCATCTGCGGCATTCTAAGGGTGTGGGTGATACTGGAGGGCTGGAAACGATCAACTGAGCTTCACCTGTTGAATCAGAGCTGGAGGGTGTCACTAGCTCTGCACGAGCTGTTGGCTGTGAACCCTGACAAGCCTGCAGCTCATCTTCCTGCTTGCCTGCTTCTGCTGACTCAGAGCTGGCTACATGGGGCTCCTCTTCTTCTGAGGAGTCCTCGCTATCTCTGAGCCCTGGCTGACTCATGACACCTTGACTTTGAGGAGGTTGTGGTCAGACCACGGTTCAGGGTGAATCTCAGGCCCTGAAATCAAACTTTCCTTCAAAGAGCCAGTGCAAAATATTAAATCCAAGGTGTGACCTCTTTCATGTGCTGGTCCAGTCATATATATATATATATAGATAGATAAATAAATAAATGATTTGAGAGAGATCCAAGACAGACAAAGTAGCTATAAAATTCCAACATCTCCTCTACCCCACACACAAAGGAACAGCTCCCTTTTCAGACTCCCTCCCATGTGGGCCCATAGGGCATTAGCCAATCTGGGTGCCAGGTTCTTGGGCTTAAGCCCACTAGAGCATGGTCCCACCAATCAAGAGGTGTTAAGACACCCAAGAGGTGGCATGCTTTCCCATTGTGTTGCAGATACCCTCTCTGTCCCAGTGAAGTGTATTGATTTCCAGTCTTTGAGGGGGCTTCTCTGCCCATCTGTCTCCATAACTGCCACAGAGTATCTGCCATCTGCCTCTCATCCCACAACAACATATTTATTGACTTCATTTATGCCCCGCCTTTCTCAATAACAGGGACCAAAAGTGGCTTACATCATTCTCTTCTTCTCCATTTTAGCCTGACAATAAACCTGTTAGGCAGGTTAGGCTGAAAGTATATGACTGGTCCAAGGTCACCCAGCAGGCTTTGAAGGGAAAGTGAGAATTGGAACTTGGGTCTCCCTGATCCTAGTCCAACACTCTAACCACTACACCACTAGGGATGGGCACAAACCAAGACAATATGGTTCAGTTCATGGTTCATGGTGTGCCTGGTTTACAAACCATGAACCATCACAAACTTTGAGGTTTGTGATATGGTAGAATGGCCCCTCAGTCATTCTCCCCAAATTCACAGGTGATCTCCAGCTGACTCTCCTCTTCTTGCTCTGTGGCACTGCAAGCTTCAAATGACTGATCTCAAAGCACAATGTCACAAGAAATCCAAGCTGAGGTGGGGGGGTTGCAAGCTTTGTGCAGGAAAATAGGAAGGGGACAGAAAGGCAGGCAGGCAAAGAAGGGGGGACCCTCTTGAAACTGACAAGACTAATCTGAAACTGACAAGGGTGTTTTCAAGGCTGGGGAATTCTGCCCCCCTATTGCTTTGAAGTTTGGTAAACATTTTGTTTGAGCAGAGACAGTCTGTCTGGAAATGTATCCATTCACAACCCGCCATGAACCTCCACAAACTGCTCAAAAGTTTGTGGAAAGTTAGTGCTGGTGGACCTGCCATGAACCCCAAACAGGCTAAAATTTGTCACCAACTTTAGTTTGTGAGCCAGTGCGTGCCCATCCCTGTATACCACGCTGGCTCTTGCAAAGGGAAAGGCAGCAGGAAATTAACTCCTTGCTGCCACACCTATTCCCTGATGGAATCTGCTGCCCTCTCTCAGATTTGCTTTAAACCTTGGTAGAGAAAAAAGACCTTTTTTTTCTCTCTGTTGAGACTGAAAACTGCCCTATGCGTTCCTTTCTGTCACAGGGAACAACGTGCTGACTCCCCTTTCCTCAGCATCACAGCTCCAATATTCCCTGCAGATATTAGTACGCTCTTTTCACCTGTACCACTCAATCTCTGTACCACTCAATCTCTTTCTCTTTTGTAGTAGCAAACAATGCAGTTCCCAACCAGCACCAACTGCCATGGGGGCTGCCTAAATCAATATATACAAGGACTGGATATTCACAATCCTTGGGGAAGCAAGACTTTTTTTGGATCAAGAGGTTCATCAGTGTATGTCACTGACAAACACTGGACTTGGAACCCTGGCAGGAAGGACCATTCACTAGGCATGTCTACTCAAAAGTAAGTGCCACTATGCTCAACAGGGCTCTCTCCCAGAGCAGTGTGCATGGCATTGCTGCTTCAAGTAACTACATGTATAGGGAGAGTTTTTACATTTAAAAAATGTAAGAGCGGTGCAGGTGAACCTGGCTGGATCAGATCGAAGGCCCATCTCATCCAGCATCCTGTTTCCAGCAGTGTGTTGGGATTGGGCCTGAGGATTCCTCATCAGAAGATGAGAACATCGTGGTGGCAGATCCCACGGAGGACAAAACCACGACTGACCTTGAAGTGTCGGGCTCTCTGACCCCCAGAAGGTGTTAGGGAACTTTCACCCAGCTGTGGCTACTGAATGAAAAGCCCAGGAGGCTCAGAAGCAGGAGTTGCCACCAGATTCCTGACATTGCCCAGAGATCCACGAAAGACAGCAGCTGATTGCTAAAGACCCCACAGTTCCCCCCCCCAGGACTGTGGCAGCAGAGAAGACAGAAAGCCCTGGCAGAAGCACAGCTCAGATGGCAGTATGCGTGGCTAGCTTCCTGAGGCTGACCACAAGGCATCTGGAGACCTAGATAGACCATAAGGCTTTGCCCAATGCTTGACGAAGTCCAGCTGTGCGTGCCTGCAGACTTTGGGCCACTGCTACAGCTGCAGGCACTCACTCCTATAAATAGCCTCAGTTCAGCCCTAGCTGCTGTGGGGTCAGCAGCTCTGATCATGATTGCTCGCTGTGATGCCTACCTGAGGTCTCTAGCTATAAACAGGACACGGTGGGCAGCCAGAAGCCTCTGGGAAGACACAAATAGGGCATGAAAGGAACAGCTGCCCCATCATTTATTCCAGCATTTGGCGTTCAGAGGGGTATTGTCTCTGGACATTGATAGATCTACCCTCCATGAATTTCCCTATTAAAAAGCTGTGCAGGCCACTGACCACTGCTGATTGTTGTAGCAGTGAATCCCATGGGGGATACAAAACAGTGCTTCCTGGAGCCTAACGCTCAACTTTACCGGTTGGCCTCATTTTGCACACTCCCATTGGTAATGTGAGTGGGATATTCTTCTGCATGTGCTCCCTGCACACTGAAGGTAGGACTACATGTTATATACCACCAATACATGTTTCCTAAGCATAGGTCTGCTAAATAATACAAATCCTTGGGAGGAAGTGTGGAGAATTGTCAAGGAGGAAGGGATGCACCAACGCACCAATTATCCCCTGTGAAAGTACTTCCCCCTCCTCTTTTCCCCTACAGCCAGTCATCTCCCAGACTTAGGATCTGGGGGGGGGCACATTTGCAGTGGAGTCAATGGGTCGTGAAGGGCTAAACACCAGTACCCTCTCCCCAGGGAAACCTTATAGAAGGAGCTAATGCAGTACAATTTCCCAAACACTTCTAAGACTAAGGCCTACTTCTTACTGGAGTGGCCAACCCGTATCTGAGCTTTAACACTTTAGACGGGAGAAGAATTATATGACTGAATATTCCCTATACAAAATCCTACTCTCTAGACAAGACAGCACTTTCTTCTTCTCCCTGACAAGCTTGATTTCTGTGTGAGGGGAACCTTTAAAAGATATGCTAGAAAATTCAGTCATATCAATCCTCCCTTCGGCACGTTGAAATGGTACAGCCCCAAACGCAGGTCAACTACCTCTATGAGGGGAAAACTGAGGAGTCTAAAGGATCTTGGAATCCCTGCCATGTTTTTAACATTGTAAAACAGGGTGGGGGAGATGTGTGTATTTAAATCAACATGCCCTTTTTCTTTGAAAATACCAGTAGAAAAGCACAGGGGAGGGCTGGGTTTAATTATCAAAACTGAGTGCATGTTGAAGGGTTAAACCTCCTCTAAGGCAAATGCAGTCTGCATGAGTCTACAATTTGACACACATTTGTTTGAGCCTGAAGGGTCCAATAAGACAGAAGACATTAAAAAAATCAGAGCTCCCGGTGTCTTTGCATATCTTTAAAAGTAGCTGGACAGGGTAGAGGTGTGTGTGACAGCCTTTGCCTCTTGTCCTTTGGCAGACAGGAATCAGCTACCCTAAATTACTGCTAGAGAAAAAGAGGTAAGTAACCCATCAGAGGAGCTTAGGAGCTGCGGTGGCTCAAGTGGTTAAGACGCTGAACTGCAGGCTGTGGAAGATCAGTAGTTCAGCAGTTCAAGACCCGGGTGCCGGAAGACAGGGTGAGCTCCTGTCTCTAGTTCCAGCTCCTGCCAACCTAGCAGTTCGAAAGCAAGAAATTGCAAGTAGATAAATAGGTACCACTTAGGTGGGAAGGTAACAGCGTTCCGTGCGCCTTGGTGTTAAGTCATGCCGGCCACATGACCACGGAAACGTCTTCGGACAGCGCTGGCTCTTCGGCTTTGAAACGGAGATGAGCACCGCAACCCTAGAGTCGGATTCGACTGGCTTTCGAGCAAGGGAACCTTTACCTTTACCTTTAACACCTCAGAGGGGTTATTAAAAAAAATAATAAAATGCTTTGGAAAAGAAATTACCCTGAGCAGGGGGTTGAAGAATGAAAAGAAAGAGATCCAAGGAATTAGTTTTAGATGCAAGGAGCAATGAAGTATAAAAACTGGTGATAGGAGATGGAGGAGGAAAGAAAACCAAGCGCTTGTGCATAATGGTAGGAGAAGGAGAGAGGAGGAAGCAGAAATGGATCTGTCGGTTTCTTATATTTATATCCCACTTTTCTGACCACTATTTACCAAAGTGACTGACATCAACAGAGACACGCATTACCCTACACCGCTATGATAACATATAAATCCTAACAACAGAAGGGCAGATGGATGCGGAGATGGAAAATTCCTGACCCAGAAGCCATAACTTTTACATACCTGGCCACCACCTCGTTGTCCACCTTGATGATGCAGTAAGGATCGCTGGTGCCAGACCTTCAGGAGCCAAAGAAACAGGGGTGAGAGTTCATTATTGACTTAGGCATTAAAACTTAAATTAAAACACTTTCTGTACTTCGGTTGAGGGAAGAAACAAACAAACCCATGTTACTCCAAAGATGAGAAACACAATCATTCCAATTCCATGTTACATCAGAAAAACATTTCTACCTATTTAAATAAAAACTGGATACATTCCCCAATAATTAATAAAGCCCTATTTCGCGTATTTCATCAATCTTTTTTAAAAATAAAAACATTCAGGGCTATTTTTGGGCAGGAACGCACAGGAACGGAGTTCTGTCTGGCTCCCAAGTTGGCCACGCCCAGCAGGAACTCATTAGCATAATAGGCCACACCCAACAGCAGAAACTCATTAGGATTGGCTACATTAGGGGGGTGTGGCCTAACATGCAAAGGAGTTCCTGCGACAAAAAAAGTCCTGGGTTTTGACAACAAACAAGGTAAACAGAATAAGAAGCAAAAGGTGGGTGTGGCTGGATGACCACACTTCTGGGGGCATGGGGGTGTGGCCTAATATGCTAATGAGTTTCTGGCGTTGGGTGTGGCCTATTATGCTAATGAGTTCCTGCTGGGCTTTTTCTACAAAAAGAGCCCTGAACATTTATAAACTTGCCTTTCTCCCAGATAACTGTGACTCTACGCAAGTCACAGAAGTAAACCAGCATGCCACAAATAACCTAAATCACAATAGAAACAATAAAAAGACAGTGTCCATAAGAGACCTCTGCTCCTCAGTAAAATCTAACAAGCCACAAGAATCATACCAAGACACCAAACACACTGCTAAAAAGTTCCATCTTGCAGCATATACAGAACTGTAATTGATAACCTCTTAAATTCTCACGGAAGCCTGTTCCATAGTGCTGGGGTGGCTGCAGAAAATGCCTGCGACTGATCACATCCTCACATGGCTGGGATCACCAGTAGGTATTGCTGAGCTGAGGATGGGCAGATACCAGGAGGGATGGTACCTACGGGCACGGAGGCCCCACATGGTGAGGGGCTGTATAAGTCAGCACTAGCACCTTGATCTGGACTTTGAAACTGGTTGCCTTGCCAGTGCAGTGTTTATAAGCTACAGGATCCCCACAGTTAACCCCCAACAACAAACAGGCTTCAAGGGCAGTCCCAAGTAAACTGTGTTGCAGAAGTCAAGCCTTGAAGTTTCTGTTGCACAGATCACAATGGCCAGGTAAGCAGTCTTCAGATACGGGAAACATTTGCAGGCCTGTTGTCATTGACCAAAAGCATTTTTGGCTCCAGCAGACACGGCTGACTTGTTTCGGCCACCTATAATTTAATGTGATTTCATATATTTTTTCAGCTTTATCACCTTATCTGAAGGCTTGCTGCAAGCTTTAATTTAAGTAAAGGTCTGCCTTGCTCGAAATCCAGTTGAATCCGACTCTAGGGATGCGGTGCTCATCTCCGTTTCCAAGCTGAAGAGCCAGCGCTGTCCAAAGACGTTTCTGTGGTCATGTGGCTAGCATGACTAGATGCCGAGGTGCACGGAATGCTGTTACCTTCCCACCAAAGCGGTACATATTTATCTACTTGCAATTTCTTGCTTTCGAACTGCTAGGTTGGCAGGAGCTGGGGCCAGAGATGGGAGCTCACTCCATCATGCGGCACTCAGGTCTCAAACTGCTGAACTACCAACCTATAGTTCAGCGTCTTAACCACTTGAGCCACCGCAGCTCCTTTACCCTCCATTAAAAGTATGCTGCTCTTTATCCTGTTCCTATTTTGTATGCTACTTTCTATGATCTTTTGTGCATTTTCCGGCAATTTTCTTACTATTTTATGTTGCTTTTATTGGATTGCGTCATTTTATTTGGCAAAAAAACATTTTTTGGGGGGAGACAGCAATATATAAACATAACAAATAAATGCATAAATAAAGCACCCACAGGGAAAAAAAAACCCCGCACAGGACTGTAAGCAAAGCACTTGCTTCTTGTTATGTGCCAGCCTTTCCAAAATGCCACCATGGCACAAGATAGGGGCATCGTCCTAATTTAACTGCATAAATCATGATGGCATTCAGCATACCATATTTTCTTTCCCTTTAGGAGAAAGATCAGTATGCCAAATGCTCTGGATGATAATGCAGGTTGAGAAGATCCAGTTCACAAGTCTGGGACACAACCCAGGGGTGGGGAACTTGGGGGCACGGAAGAGATCACTTTAAATGCACTAAGAGGCTGGCCTTAAATCAGTTACTGAAAATGTGACTATGGCAACAAAGACCTATCAAAGCCTCTTTTAGTGTGTGGAGGGCACTGGCCACAGGTAGCTTCAAAGCCTTGTCCTGCGAGAGAGCAGCACGCACCATATCTCTTTACTGCGCCCATCATCAGGTACTGTAACGTTTAACATGTGCCCACAACAGTAGATGCCGAGGTGCACGGAATGCTGTAACGTTTAACATGTGCCCACAACACCAAAGTGTGGCTTTCCTATGGATTCAATTATCTACCACAATTCCTAAGCAATTTGCTGCAAAAGACCCCTTTTTTCTGCTTCTCTTTTTGGGCCATACAACACAATGCTGCAATTCTCTAACTTCGTTCTCCAACTGGTAATTTAGCCTCAAAAAGCAGCCATGGAGAGGGGCTGGTATGGATCAGGGCCATGAGGCTGAGAAAGGAAGGGTTAACTCTTCCCCACTCTGACCTGGAGGGCCAGGCTAGATCAATCGCATCATATTTCAGAAGCTAAGCAGGGTCAGCCCTGGTTAGTACCTGGATGGGAGACCACCAAGGACGTCCAGGTGTACTACACGGAGGCAGACGATGACAAACCTCCTCTGTTCCTCTCTTGCCTTGAATACAGGGGTCCCCAACGTCATACCTGTGGTGCCCGTCAAGTGTGGGCCAGATGGGGTTTTTCTCCTGCAAGGCTTCTGATTGGTTGTGCAGATTTTTTTAAAAAGTTGCTTTGGCAGCAGTTGCAACCACAGCACAATGATCCTCACTTTGTGACTGAAGGTAAGCCGTGGCAGACATTGCATGGATGCATCCACCACACTGCGACTGAATTCCAAAGGAGCCCACAGGCTCCATAAGATTGGGGACACCTGCCCCACTTTCCACCACCATCACCTCTTCCCCTGTAGGTCATTCCCCCCTGACCAGACCCTCCATCCTGATGCTGCTTTTAGCTCTGGTGGGGATACAGTCAGGCATTGTAGGGGTAAAAAGGTAAAGGTTCCCTTGCTCGAAAGCCAGTCGAGTCCGACTCTAGGGTTGCAGTGCTCATCTCCATTTCCAAGCCGAAGAGCCAGCGCTGTCCGAAGACATTTCCGTGGTCATGTGGCCAGCATGACTAAACACCAAGGCGCACGGAACGCTGTTACCTTCCCACCAAAGTGGTACCTATTTATCTACTTGCAATTTCTTGCTTTCGAACTGCTAGGTTGGCAGGAGCTGGAACTAGAGACGGGAGCTCACTCCATCATGCGGCACACTCAGGTCTTGAACTGCTGAACTACTGACCTTCCACAGTATCTTAACCACTTGAGCCACCGCAGCTCCTTTTCAGGGGGGGCATTTAAATGTCTTAGGGAGCACCAAGTTGATTCAATTAAAGTTAAAGCTTCCCCAGCTTGGACCCCTCTCCACCAACAACTTACTCATTTGCTAATTTCAAAGAGAAGCTTCCCAACACACCCACAGCTGTCCTCCTACGGCTTTTTTGCCCAGCACTCCCCCGGCAGACAGGCAGGGCGGACGCCTTCCCCAGAGACAGAGGATGGCTGAAATCTGGCAGACATGCTGGAAAAGCAGACAGCGTCTCCTCTCCTGCGGTAGCCGCTTTTTCTTCTTCCTTCTGGTCAGCCGGCCGCAAGCCTGGCCTCCCATATTGGTGTGCAGTGTACCGCCAGCCCGCTGCTCTCCCTTTCACAGGGGCCGCATAGGAAAGGCAGGCAGGCGGCAAGGCAAGGAGGTGGAGGAACATGCCGGTGCGCTCGCCCCGCTCAGAGAGCTGCCAGCCAGCCAAGCTCTGGAACCACAGCCCCTCCCATCCCCCCCAAAACCACCAGCCCAGGATGGAGCCGGCGGGGCTGCTGAGAGGCAGAGAAGTCCCCACTTGGGGAAGTGGCGGCGGCAGCGGGGGGGGGGAGTGCGCCCAGAGTGCTGGGGGGGCCTGGGATGGAGGGAAACTCAGGGGGCCTTGGAAGGAAATCAGGGGGGCAGGCCCCAAAATGCCCCGCTGTAGCTACGGGCCTGAACTGCAGCCTTTCAAGACTGCTTTTCATTGTTTAAAAAATTCCTTGAGGAGGAAATGAAAGGCAGAACTCCACACCCTGTCTAGCTGGACCCTGGGCTTCGGTTCATCTCAAGTGTATCCCCAAAGGGACAGAGCCACAAATGGGAAAGCACAGCCCCACTCTCCTTCTGCTCCCTGCCTCACGCGTGGCTGAGTTCTCGCCAGCTGGCATCCCTCTGAAACGTGTTATTATGTCCAACCCACCTCCATTATTTATAGATTAATATCAGCCTGGATAGTAACTCAATAACTAATAACAGTAACTTGAGCCAGTGACTCAGCCTACTGAACTCTTAACGGGACGGGGTTGCAGTACCCTCCCTCAGAGAGGACCCCACATTGCCATTCAAAACCAGAACTGAGGACAAATTGGGGTTCCATGAGGAACCACTGGGTGAGGGTGGGGAGCTAAACTACTAAGAAAGCTTCTTATTTCGCCCTGAATCTGAGCAGTACAACACAGAACTTGGGGATGTTTACTTCACCCACCCGGTATTATTAATAACAGGAGCATGGAACTGGAGTGGGGAAATGTGTACCTCCCGCCACACATTCCGCAACCTGAAATTTGCACACACACACATACAATTTCAGACTAGGGGCTCCACAGATGAAAAGATCCTTGGAAAGGTGTGATTAATTCAGACGAGAGGAAGCATTTTTGCTTGGATCCCAATTAATATTTCAGACAGGGCAATCTG